TATGAAGTGCAGAATTAGAACTTTGCTGCCATCGCTGGATAATTAATTTTTTTATAACTCGCTGTTTTGACATAATTCTGTCAAGGTACAGTTGTTAAGTTGTCGTTGCTCGATGAGCCATTTTCTTGTTATTTTTAAAGGTTGGATTTTTTTACACTATCTTCTGATAGTGATAGATAGGTAGCTTTTGTGTATTTGTTTAATGGATTCAAATTGTGTTTCTGGGAACAATGAGGAGGTCCTTGAAACATCTGCAGCAAACGTTCCCTTTTTGTACCGTAAAACATGCAGTGTTTGCTTGACCGATGGCGCAGGTTTTGGTATCCATATGAATTGTTTGGCGTTTGTTCAGTTGCTTCATATGTGATTCTTATTCATTCAAATTTTACTGGAAATATTTCTACTTGACTAGTGCTTCAGACTGCTAAATAGGTTTTTCATAAAAGGGTCTTATAATTACTATATACTCTTTGAGAACGCCCGTTTCGAGTCTAATCATAATGCTAAATTGGAAACACCTATTAGCCAATGAGCAAAAAGAAAGGCTTGTTTGATTTTTTAAACCACATTATTAAATTTGTCTTTCAAAAGAAAAAAAGCAGCAGTTTAAAGCAAATGTCTTATAATTTATGTCTTTGTTCTTCAGCTTGACTAATCTTATAAATTTTTATCATTTTTTGAGGGAATTTTGTTTATTAATGAAGAAAATTTAGGTGTTCCTTACCCTTACTCTATTTTCTTTTTAGCCTTCATGGTTTGGTTTAACTCCTGCGAAAGCAAAATACACCTTGTGTAATTTTGATTACTTTTATGAGTACTTAATACTGAAAGAAAATTAGGTCATTTGTTTTCCTGGTGTTACAGCAGTCTGAAACTTTTTGGCTTTTTGGATAACTAAACTTTCGATAGATCTCATTATCTTACCAGTTTGTAACAGGGATATATGTATTTATACATGAGCTGCTGTTGTACGAGTGTTGTAGCGTCGTTAGTACGTATTTCTAAATTTTCTCAATTGCTCTCTGATAAACTTTCAGTTTCTCTTTGCAGTATGGTGGCTAGAAATTTATCTACTGATATACAGGATGATTCAGTGATTCAGACATTGCTGACAGATCTTTATCAAATTACTATGTGCTATGGATACTGGAAAGCTGGGGTTCACGAGCAAAATTGTGTGTTCGATGTTTTTTTCCGGTATACGTTTTGTTTTTCAAGGCAAGAAAGTAGAAGAAATTATTAATAAGCACTGTCTATTTACAATTTATTCTACGTGGTTACTTACTTCAGTAATATTTTTCAGAGTGGTTCAAAATTAATTTATTATCGTGATGAAGTGAAGTAATAGTTTGCTATAAAGGAATGTTCTATAAAAATAATAGTATCTCACTTTTGTAATAAAACAAATTGAAAAACATTGTACCTTTCCTCTTTCCTTTAGGAAAAATCCTTTTGGCGGAGAGTATACTATTTTTGCTGGATTGGAAGACTGTTTACGTTTTCTCGACAAATTTAAATTTAAAAAAACGGGTATTCTTTGCTTTAAAGCTTAGAAGTGTTGCATTAGTTACTTTTGCTAATCATTACTCTTTTTTCTTTTTAATTCTGCTATACAGTAGCTTACAGATGTCGATTTTCTACGGAAAGTGCTTCCCAATAATATCGACCCAGAGTTCTTTGATTATCTTCTTGGTCTGAATGCAAAAGGAGTTAAAGTCTCTGCTTTGAAAGAAGGTAGTGTCGTTTTCCCCAGAGTACCGATGATAACTGTTGAGGGTCCGCTGGCTGTGTGTCAGATTTTTGAAACTATATTTTTGAACCTTGTCAGTTTCGCGAGTCTCGTTACGACGAATGCTTCACGCCTTAGATACGTAAGCAGTTCGACTACTTTTAATTACATGCAGTGCGTGGGGGAAAGTTTAATACGTGGCATTGGAGAACCTTTCAAAAAACCCAAAAATTTTCTTTAATGATGGACATTCCTTTTTGTAGGTTGCGGGTGACAAGCAAAAGCTCTATGAATTTGGTTTACGACGGGCTCAAGGCCCAAATGGAGCTTTATCTGCCAGCAAATATTCTTATGTGGGAGGTGGCCATTTTTTATCCATTTGTTTACTTTTATTTTTCTAACAGCTCTCATTATTCCTCTATCGCATTTTTAAATTGTTATATAAATTTAGGTTTTGATGGTACCAGCAATGTTTTAGCTGGTGAACGTTTCAATATTCCTGTTTTTGGTACCCACGCACACTCCTTCATAAGTGCCTTCAGCTCACCCAGCGATTTGAAGGTTTTCAGCTTCCTTTTCTGAAAGTACTGCTCTCTGTGGGTTACGATACTTCAATTTTATGGGGGTTTCAGAAAAATTCTTCTCTTCTTAAAGTTTTGCTATACCTTCTTTGTTAAGACAAACACATGTAGCAGATTTTTACAGGTGAGGAAAATGAAAAATGCATCCGGGACGGAAGAGTATGATCTATATGAACTCGCAAAAACAAAGCTAGAATTTCTCACCGGAAAGGTGACTGTTTCACAACTCACATTTTAAAGGTTTTAAAAATTTGTTAATTGATTTTCTTGCTAAAACTAACTGTCTTCCAACGACGGCCCCTGACAGAGGAATATGAGGTCGTCTCACAAACTTTCCCAAATTTTAATCATGAAGAATTAGTGCAGTCGCGTGTAGTACGTTTCATACACTAGTCTTTTAGTTCTCTTGGGGTGTTTCGAACCATGAAATTTCAGCAGGAGAATTGTGTGCTTTTTGTGCCTACGCAGTTGCTTTCCCAAGCTCCTTCCTTGTTCTGGTTGACACATATGATGTTCTGAAGTGAGGATTTATCGGTCTTTTAGAAATATGTACATCAAGTTTGGTACTTAATGTAGAATACTTTTTCTATTTAGTACTTTTTGTAAAATAGGGGTAAGATTTCTTGTAAGAGCTCTAGCTTTTTTTTAGAAGTGGCATCATTAATTTTTGTGCAGTGACTCTGGCACTGTTTGATCTTGGATACCGTGCGATCGGTATTCGTATTGATAGTGGAGATCTTTCTTATCTGTCGCAACAGGTCCGCTCAAAGTTTAAGATGGTGGCAGGCCTGTAAGCAGTTTTTGATTTGTAGAAGGAAGGTATGCAATAATTGATTAAATTCTTTAGATTTATTATTTAGGGATCCTCAGTACTCTTGGATTTCTAAGTTGACCATATTTGCTTCAAACAGTGTAAATGAAGATACCATAAGTTCATTAAACGAGCAGCATCATGAGATTGACGGCTTTGGAATTGGGGGAAATTTGGTCACTTGTTACAAGCAATCGTCGCTCGGATGCGTTTATAAGGTTCTTTTTTATGCTGTACTTGCTCATTTTTTCATTTACAAAAAAAACTGTGTTTTAACGGACATTTTCTCGTGGTAGGATATCACAGTTTTTGGCTTTAAAAGAGCCCTTCTAGCTTGTCACTCTGGAAGGAAATCCAAAAATTAAACTTAGTGAAGATGTTGGAAAGATTACTATTCCTGGAAAGAAGCGTTGCTATCGTTTATATGGAAGAACTGGTTTGGCTGTTTGTGACTTGATGATGTTGGACGATGAGGAGCCTCCAAAGGAGCATCATCCCATATTATGCAGACATCCATTTGTGGTAAATAGCCTCACTTATACACGCTGAAAACTCAGGAGGTTTTCATGTACGAGTGGTGACTCTATTAGGCTTCTTGAAATTACAGGAGAGTAAACGTGCTGAGGTGGTACCCCATAAAGTAGAATGTCTGCAGCAATATTATTACGGTGACGGCGAACTTCATATGGTATGTAGATCAAGTGCGACATTCACTTGCAAAATAGTTCTAATTTCTTTATTTCTTTAATTATTTTGAATGCCCATCCAAAATCGTTTAATTCATTAATTGATTGTTCTAATGCGTTAAATTTCCCAGCCTCTGCCCACATTGGAGGAAATTAGGAGACATACAGCAGACTCACTACAAACGCTTCGCAGTGACCACAGGCGATTGCTAAACCCAACGCCTTATAAGGTAATCAATTTCAAATTGTTTTAAAATTCACTTTCAACTCCTGATAATTAGTAACAGAGTCATTATTTTCAATCGCAGGTGTCCCTTAGTGTCAAACTGTATGCATTCCTTCACAATATTTGGCTGGAGAATGCGCCAATTGGACGGCTGGAATAAACAGTCAAAACTTTTCTAGCTAACTAATGTATTAGATGTACTTGTAACATCTTTTCCTAATCAAACGTATGATTTCTATATTTTTGTAAAATTTCAGTCTTTGCACTTACTTGTTCTTGTAAAAATTGACAAGAGTTAGCAAAGAAGAGTAACTATTTTAATTAATCTGATTACTTATCGTCCGCTTAACCGTGTCACCTCTCTGTAGAAGTTGGAAGCTTTTGTTGTTTTGCTTACGAATTTCTTCGACTAATTTCATTCACCTCTCTATAATTCGTTTCAGCTTCTTCGTCTCATAGAACCTTATAATGTTTTTTTTTTTGAAAAGTATTTGTTCACCTCGAAGTTTTACTCTGAAACTACTCAAGTACTTTAATAATGGGAAATCCCTGTAAGTCTAGAGGAATTGCAAAGGCTTGGTCTTGATAATCTAGAAATGAGGCAGTGAACAAATATAATTCTCATGCTGAAACTTTTCCCTTCAGAGTAATTTTTTTGCCGTCTCCGAGTACGAAGTCTTAACATGTCAGTGGTATAGCTATAGTTGAGATACCAATTTATGAGAGCAAAACTTTTTGTTAACCCATAAAATTTTCTACTTTACTTACATTCTTAGTTAATATTAATTAACAATGACTGCTTTCGCTCTTACTGTTGTTTTTAAAACTGGCACTTTTGTTCCAAAATTCAGATTTGCCGCTGTTGCATCAGGTTTTCTGCTGGCATTATCGGAGAGCTTTTGCTTCCTTTTCTTTGCTAAACGCTTGTCCCTATTATGTACTGAGGTAGGAGCTCACCTGTCGAAGAAAGCCGGATGCCAAGACTTTGCTCCAACAAAGAACACATGAACTCTGCCAAGAAAAATAAAGAAGTTGCAGCAAAAAATCCAAACCGAAAAGTTGCATTTCACCAAAGGCTACTGCTTAATCAAGTGCCAGTGGAAAAGTGAAGGTGTAGAGGGTCCAGTGAGCTAACTGCACTTAAAGTCTTTTGAAATTAACGCTGAAAGATTATATCAACTCGAGCGGTATTTTGAAGCGAGATGTGACACTTGTAGGTTACACTATCTTTTGCAGAGTTTTAGGTAATGAATACAGCATGCTTTAACTTCCAGTTGAATCTCATATAAAAATTTACACGACAAACCTAACTGATGAGAGGGTAACATATGCGTACTGCAAATCCACTAGTAACTTTAGCGTAGCAATTCCGAGAGACACTAATCGTAAACGAACCACACTAACTTTTGGTTGTTGGCTCAGCACCACTCGCCTTAGATCAACTGCAACGACGTTGATGTCTGTCGCCTAGACGTCTTAGCCCTGAGCACACAGCTTTGTTTTTTTCCATTAGTTGTGATTAATACAGAAATTCATCTTAAAGCCCAGTGTAAATCGGATATTCATGAGAAGATAACTGTCATATGAGGCGATCGAAACAAAAACCAATAAACTGCGGCAAAAAATCGTTGAGTCAGCATGCTTCACCAGATTCTCGGCACTACCTCAACCCCAATGAGACTCCCACGCTGCTTCAAAAAGTCCTGCGTCTGTAAACTTCTAAGAGGACAAGTTACGTTTTACCTCAAAAAGTTCACCAAAAAATTCAATATAAAATATATCCAAGTTGTGAGAAGTGTTCAAGAAAAAACAAAAGAACCTAGATTCAAGATTCTTTCATTAAATAAAGTTGCAGTAGCTTCCAAGAGTATCAGAATAATAAAAAAATCAAACAAACGAAAGACTGATCAAAAAAGTAAAACCTAAAAACATTCACATTTCAAAACAAACAAATAAATAGAACAAACTCTCAAAACAAACCTGACTATACTGAATGTCTTCCGAATGATCACTATTAACAACATATGATCAACCTTCTTGTCAAATGATATTACAAACAGAATGGGAGACCTTCACAAATGAAATATGAAATGACACCAGAATTAAGGGGAGGAATATACAGTAATAGGAAAACTTGAGAAGATGAGCAGGAACTTTGTAACCAAAGAAAATATTTTATTTTGAAGGAAAAGTATTTGTAGCATAATTACTCATAAAAGCATTCATCTCGTTTCTTTGTGCCGAGGTCATTCCCTGAGGTGAAGAAACGATCTAAACAAAATCCTTCGTGGAAAGCGATGAAACAAATACGTTAGGTCAATATCTGATGAGGGACAAAAAAAAAATAAAAGGGATACCTGGTTCAGTACTGCTGCAAAAGTACTTTTTTGAGCAGGCTGCAAGGATCGTATTAAACTGAAACGCTGTTGATATATTTGCCTTAAAAGTTGAGTAAACTGAGGGTTTGCTGCGGCACCAGGTATCTGCAGGCTGCTATTATGCCTAAATTGAAAATATTTACATATCTTTAGAAAATAATCACTTCTATGTCATGATTCTGAGAATTAATACTCCTTCATGTACTTCTTGTGTCTTCGTCGCTTTCTCCGCCTATTTCGCGCTGAGGATAATGATTCTTCTGAGGAAGATGACTGTGAGGACGATGATGAAGAAGTTTCAGATGACATTTCCCCTTCTTCTAACTGAAAAAAAAAAGGGAATTTACCTGCACAGTTTATAACTTATCCCCTCCACTATCTAAAACTGAATTGTTTTTAAGTTCTTGCTCCAAAGGTCTGAATTGATGAAACAACTAACTGTTATGAGATCAAAGCAAGAAAATCAAAAAACCTCTCTTTTTTTAACATTCTCGTTCGGTTCGGTAGAGGTACCTGCCACACTTTCCTTTAGAGTTTCTTCAGCAATATTCTTTCCTTTTTCAGGTTCTTGCTCCAAAGGCTTCATAGATTCTTGCATTAACCTGACTTTCTCATCTTCCATTTTCTTCTCTCTTATTTCTTTTTTACGTTGATATCTGCAAGAAGACTATAAAATTGTCGAAATAACAAAGATCGAAGAAAATATGCTTAGTTACTACACTGCAAAAATTAATAAAAACTACTATAGAAGTTAGATTCAAAAACCTCATTCTTTTGTACTCTGGTGAAATGTGTGGGTACTGCTCGCTTTCCTTCGCAGATGATGCTTTACAGAGTTCACCCCAACTCTCAAAAGTCAATTCTTGCCCATTCACAGAAAAGATACCTGGAAAAGTCTTCTACAGCTGAAGAAAAAAAAAAAGTATTAAAGTCCTAATGAAAAACAAACCATGCTCGTCTTCGTCAACATCTACTTCGCCTTCTTCAAGAGCCAAAACAGTTCTTGCCGCTTTCAAAAGGGTGCTAACACCCATTAAATTTACGAGGGTTTTCCTATTATGCTTATTCCGACGATGAACGGGTGATGGCGGAGTATAAGTAGGAGCGTTCATTGTTACTGCGCCCTCACGAGAGGCTGTTTTTGTTGCCTGCACCTCCTTTTTCCATGCCCTTTAGTAAGAAAATATATAAACAAGCTTCAAAAAACTTATTTTAATGGCAGACTTTCTTAATAAATTGAAAAAGGAACTGAGAAAACAAAATTAATCAGGCAAAAATCAGGATTTTTGAAGTATGAAAATATATTTATGACTTTAAAAACTATTCTTGAGCTTTTTAGTGAAAAAAACTATTAAACGTGTCTATATTTTTCACACTCAAACATGAAATTATGATTTGAAAGCCGCAAAGAACTTTCTAAACGTAATCAATCAAAAAAGAAAGCAAATAACAAAGTTTATATCTACGACAATGTGAAAAACTGCTACTTTGGCAAGATTACTATCTAAAACCAAAAAAAGACAAAGAATGAACTTCGAACGATCTTTTTTAAAATAACAATGGTTCTACCGCCTGTTTCAAACTTACTTGATAAGTCCATCCAAGTGGTTCCTCATCCACTGTATTTGTAACCTATTACGATGATCTTCAAGAACGTTTAACAATGCATATTTCAGCAAAGAGTCTGGGATCCCATTATGGTTTTTGCTGACAACATCACAAAACTTCCAGAGTTCCTCTACATCATTCAGCTCAGCCCAGTTGGTACGAGTCACTTCAATATGCTAAACCCAAACTGGCGTCAGTGGCTACCAGGAATGTTAGAAAAGTTTCAAATCATAAGAACAAATGACCAATTAGGCTACTCCACTATATAAAATAAAAACCTTTTCCAAATATTCTGCTACGTCTTCAACACTCAACTCCGGTGCTGAAACATGAGGTACTTCAACCTGAGTTGTGGGAGGCAAATCGGAAAGGTTAGTATTAGACGTAGTAGCTGTAGGTCGGCTTTGAGTAGACATACTTTCCAACGCAGCATTTTTCATATATGCAACGTAGTCTGTCGTACTTAGCAAACTAAAAAAAATGCTTATAGCCAAAAAAGATGACTTTGTCTTTCGTTTAATGCCTTCATCAATTGCGATAAATTACACTTCTCCCCTATACCTAATTTACCAGACCATGAGACTACCAAAAATCTTCGTATTAGGATGCCAACAATAAAATATTCACTATTTAAAATATGCAACTTTTTTCCTGAAATCACTAGATTCCTCTGTAACTTTTGCTCTCTTCCTCCTTACCACTACTTCAAATTCATGGCTAAGACACAACCAAGCAAAAAATGTTTGGTATTTCAGATTGTGCGAGACCAAAGCTAATCTTGCAAGTAATATCATTCACTGCAATTCGTTTAAAACAAACCGAATAAAAAAACCTCCATTATGGAAGAGCACCAAAGGCGAGTTGGCGTGCAAATTTGATGAGAAACTGTAACTATTCCATAGATAAATAATTTACTAAAATTAATACTATTGCTAAGAAATTGCTTATTTCTCAAAAAGAAAGCGACTAGCATTTCTTTAAATATTAATCACATCCCACCCTGTGTTGACGCTACTGATACTTGGAAAGCAAAAATCATCCCTTAAAACAAGAATCTAGTGTATAATATACCAAAAAAATAAGACATGTCAAATAAGAATTAGCAAGACAGCAAGTCTCTGATTAAATATTTTACATTAATGACAAGTAAAATGAATTACTAACACGTGATTCGGAAAGCTCCAAACGATACTGTACAAAACCAATTCTACTCCAAAGGCAAAATATGATTATTACACCAACAAATATTGCATACTTAAGAAAATTGCCTTTTTTTTTCACACAGTAGACTAAATTTTATACTGCAAGTCCAAAATTTCTAATGAGAGTTTGATAAACCAAAGACAAAAACTATGAAGGCATTCGGGAAACAACAGCAATTCCCAAAAACCGTAGAAATTTAAATACAGTGGTACAACATAATGCTTAATGAGCTTTACAAATTTCAAAAAATCTGACACGTTTTCTGAAAAAAAACATCTCCATCACTTGAAAGAAAAGGCCATTTCCGCAAAATGAGGGAATCTAGATTCAAAAAAATATAAATCCTCCAACTACAAGCAACAAACTTAAATGTAACAACAACTAAACCGGTTGTTCTCCCAAATGTTTCATTTTATATCCACTGCAGAGGATCCATAAGTGAAGGTGATTTGCATCATACTGTACGTCTATCCTACAGACTCACAGCAAATCAAGCAAATGCATTAACTTTATTAGTCCTACAGCACACATATCTGGCTAACAAATTAAAGAAAAAAGCTGGCGCCTAGTCATCGTCCACGGAACAACATTTCTGACGTTACCTTTCTCTTCTACCAATAGGCACGCTCAACAAATTTATCGATTACACAGTAATTTTAGATTCATCTAACTTTTTTTAAAACAAGAAGCTATATTACACTAAAACCCAATGAAATAAACAATTTTCTCGTACATTTCGAAGCTGCATTCAGCACTTTTAAAACTTTTCAATTTTTTTCGATGTAGAAACTTGCAGTGAACTTAAAATTACGCAGCATTATATAAATTTATAGCGTGAAGCTACGAAAAACTGAATACAAAGAACCGCCCTCGCTTTTTATTACCAAATAGTTCCCTAAAACAAATGAGATCGAAACGAGTAAACCAATAAGAAAAAAATTATGAAGATAATATATTGCAGCAAACTAAGTACTCAAAATAATCTTAGAAGTAAACTGATAAAGTTTCTAAATGTTGTTTTCTTCCAGAACTTTCACTAACTGGGTTGAAATATCGCTGGAAAACACTCTACTTCATATTTCAAGTACAGGTTCATCTGATTCAAGACTGATAATAGAAAAAAAAAGTCATGCAATTTCAAGGTCAAAAGACGTGACTTTCCAATGACTTTTCAAGAAAAAAAAAACGAAGGACATTAAAACATTTTGTAATAAGAAGCCAAACAAGTCGTCCTAGAAAACAGCCACAGTATCTGTAAACTTGAGATAAAGAAACTTTAAAGGAAAGGAAATAAGAGTAATAAAAACAAGACGAACCTTTTGTAATTCGAATTTGGTAATAACAAAACCAAATTTATTTCAGAATAAAATGAATATATGCCACGAAATTAGAGCTCCAGAAACCAAAATTTATTGGAAAAATCCTGGAGAACTCTTAGAAAAAAATGAAACAAGTTCCCATTCCTAAGTGATATACCTCTTACACTGAAAGTTTCAGAGTAAAAAAAAAGAAATTAGACTTAATAAAATAAAAATGACCTTGGAACTGACTGTATTAAAACCAGTCAAAAAATCTAAGCCTTTAAAAAAATAATACAAACAATAAGCCACCGTATCAAAAACCACAAAGATTTTGTTCTTCTGAAATGAATAACTGATATAATATTGAGAAATAAATACCTTTCCATTACATTACAACTGAAAAAATATATCATATCCAGTTGCAAGATAACTATACGTAAATAACAGTAAACGAATTTGACCCTTCCAGATCTACTAACGATAAATAAAACATAAAGAACTTACACCATACGATCAATTTCTTCCACTTCTAATTCAGCAAGCTCGGACTGTACAGTATCAGCGTCCTCTTTTGAAGAAAAAACAATCTGGAAAAAATATCTCATGACTCAGCTAACAGAATGAAAAAAAATCTAATATTGTTGGTAGAAAAAAAATCTGGAAATATTTTACGTAATAAAAAAAGCAGCGTACTACCATCGTTTAAAAAACAGAGTTTATGCATCAAGAAAGCTAAATTAGACCTCCGCTTGCATTTCAGATGGCACATATGGATCGTTAGCTAGTTTTATCGACTTGACGTACTCCGTATCGAATACACTCGTTAAAAAATCTTGTTTTGTAGATGAATGTAAGTGCACTGCGTATAACCTATAAGTTGTGTCGCTCGGAGTACTCACAACATCAAATGGGTAAGTGACCTTCTCCGGCTGCTGAAGATCCTCGCTGCTAACAGCATCCTCATCTAAATTCAGCAGCGATAGGGCGGTGAGAAATAGTGAAAGAATTGAGACAGTCAAAAACGATAAGAAAAAGTCGTCCGCTTACAAAAAAGTTTAGATGCCTGCAGCTTCAGGGAACGCCCATCGATTTCCATCTTTTGGACAGTAGCAAAGGCATTTTTTGCTTCAGCGACACTTTCGAAAACAATACTGGCTCCTCCTGGCTTAACTTTTCCTAAAAATTTCGATTTGCTCAAGGAACCGTCCAGCCCAACAACATAACTCCACATAACTCTTTCAAGAGTCCCAAGACAATTCACTTTGAAATAGAAATTACCTTTTTGTACACTATAATAAATGAAAAATTTAATCAAAATTACAATCAAGTTGCTAAATTGCTACACTAATTTTAAAACAGCTGTGGAAACTAGAAGAAACCTTCTGAAGCCTTCTCAAACCATAAATGAAAAGTTTCGCTTTTGTGGAGGAGGTCAAGAAACGTTTGACTCTCCATCCACTTTCCTGGATAATTTAGTCCGAGTACGCGAAACTTCCGCTTGGAATCGCTCACAGGAAACCCGTCGACAGGGCTTTCAGAAGTGGACACATTTGCTGAAAACCGAACAAACAGTGAATTGCAAATCACTAGCTTAACAAATCAAATCAGAAAGTGTGGAACTAGAGGCAGAATAACTCGACATAAAACACAAAATGTTCTTAATACACATACACAATTCTCCCTTATCAATGCGCCTTCCGGTTAATTCTGAATAAAACTATTTCAAAATTTGAAAACCTAACCATTCAATGCGTTTACACTTGACTCTGCACAATGAACTTCTACATTTCCATCTTCTTGCTTTTCGCTCTCCTGAGGTTTTGCAGCATCGACTGCTGTGCTGTTACACTCAGCTGATTCTTCGGCTGCCTCAACGTTTGAATGGGAACAAGTCGAGTTATCAACAACTTCTTCATAAGATTCCGAATTAGGTTTATTCGAATTATTTTCGGTAGCATCAGAGTCCTTCATAGGTAACGAATGGGTAATTTTTATAGGCGTTATCTAAAACTTCTGTCATAAATAAAATAATGCAAACAAAAGTAACCCTGTCTTATTATACCCTGCTCGCTAATTGAAGCTTCAAATTTCGATGATACCAAATCATAAGACTCAGCCAAAGTGTGCTTCCTTATAACCGTTTGCTGCAACTAAATTCGTTTACCTTAACAATTACTAACTCTTTATTAATATCTTATAATGTCTCACAGCTGCTACTAAACAAAAACTGATCATTTAATCAAAGAAGCAACAAAACTCATCTGAAGCAATTTGGAATAAACTTTTTAGATGAAATCAACCTCAGCCAATCCAGAAAGTAATTCTGTAATTAAAACAAAGGAACTACTAACTATACCTTGCTGGCTAGAAGAAAAAAGGAAGAAAACAAAACAAAGGCTTCTAAATTTAATTAAAAATTGATCTTACAGTTTACGCTTAACAAAAATCAGTCCATATATCACAGTTGTTAGCACCAAAAATTTCCAAGTATAAAGTCCCCATAAACAGGATATGTTTATAAATCAAGTAACCATCCATGCGGCTATCGCTCATCAACTGGTAAACTAAGCCATTCTAAGAAAAGTGTAAATTTTCAAGTATTAATTCTGATAAATTCACAAGGAAAAAATGTTACAATCAAGAATTACTGTCATACAAGATAAAAACTCTTTCGTCTACGACAACCAGAATACTTTTATGCGGATCTTCAACGAACAACAACATCAAAAAAAAAGTTTATGATCATTAGCCGGTAGCTTCAACAAACTAGCGGACCGCTGTAATCCGATCATGATAATTAGGAGTTTCAATTAATCTCTAACAAAAGTCAACTTTTTCCCACAGATATTTTTCCCAGAACCTCAATAAACAACCAGCTA